TTAAAGAACAACTTTGATGAACGAAGATGTCTTAGAAAGGTTCTCTGATGAACGAAGGTTACGTAGAGAATTACTTCGATGACTGATTATAACTTTCGATGACTGAGAATACCTTTGATGATATAAAGAATAACTTTTCAGGATATAAGAATAACTTTTGATAACTCTGAGAATAACTTTTGATGTCTCTTAGAATAACTTTGAGGTCTTTGAGTGTGCCATTGATGTCTCGAAGAGTATTTTTGGTGTCTTTGATTGTGTCCTTAATGTCTTGAAGAGTGTCTTTGACTAATTTTCTTACTCCACGAAGTATAATGGTAGTTAAGAAAGTGTTGAACGAAGCTCCACTTGACTATTTCAGTTGAGAGAAGTGTTATTTTAGTTAAGAAAACGACAAGAAGACATGTTGAACATGGTTATTTTCAGTTGATTGACGAATATTTTTTAGTTAAGAAATGATGAAAGTGACTAAGTTTTAGTTGATTGACGATGGATAAAGTTAGTTATGAACAGTAATGACAAGTTTCCTTTGACTATTTAGTTAAGAGAAAAAGGTTATTTTAGTTAAGAATAGTGTTGAACGAGGTTAATCCTGACTTTTTTTTTGTTGATTGGCAAATATTTTAGTTAAAAATGAAGAATGTGACTATTTTCAGTTGATTGGAGAATTCTTTTAGTTTCCCTTGACTATTTTTTAGTTAATTGGCGAATGAGTTTAGTTAAGGAACATTAAGAAATGAATTTCTTGGTACATTTGATTTTAAAGAACATGTAAGAGAATGTGGTGAACACAGTGAACTTGTGGGGAATATGAACTTGCAGAGAACATGAAAACATGACAAAGAATATAGGAAATACAAAGAATGAACAATGATCTAATGAAGAACATGCTAAGAACGATGAGAACATGACAAAGATCGCAGAAAACATGTAGAAGAACACATTGAACATACGAGGAGCATGACAAAGAACACAGAAAACATGCAAGACAAGTTGATGAACACAGTTAACATGCGGGGAATATGAATTTGCAGAGAACATGACTAATGACAAGGAATACAGAAAATATGGAAGATGTTATGATCTCAGCCTACAGGAGAAACGAGTCTCCCCCTTGAGAGTTATTCAACAAGCCTGACCTAACCGGAAGGTCTAGGAAATATGGAGGTGATAACATATGTAAAATAGTTGGTTGGATTCAATGAGATTATGGGCAATAAATAAGGAAATAGATAAATGACTGGTTAGGAGATGTGGATATTTTGCTGGAGGCGTGAGGCTCGCTTCTGGAGGGCTTTGACCTCACTTGAGGCCAGACATCGCAGGGGGAAAGCCGCGCTCCGTTCGAGCTCCTTTCAGAAAGGAACCCCTAGTGATATATCTCCAAGAGAAGAGAAGTGTGCAGACGTGCCAGCTGTGGAATTGAGCTGAGAACGTTGTGGTCTCAAGTCCTGGACGGCAAGGAGAGTTTATTAAGCTGCCCAGAGACATTTTCGTGGGCTGTGTGGAGCGCCCTGACCAGACGCCATTAGAGGGATAGTGCCCTCAACTAGACAATTTGTGGTAAGCACGATTTAAGCCAGTTCATAGTGATTGCTTGTAGTTGGTCGTGTGCCCAGCGACAGTAGCGATGTTTATTTATAAGTTAGAAATGTTTTGGTAAGGCAGGAAGCCTAAATAAGAGGACAGAGATGAGAGAGACAGCTGGAGGGACGAGCAGCGTGTCCTCTCCCGTCGACCGCTTGAAGCCAACTGAGGGGCGGCGGAGGAGAGTGTGGAGGCCCGCCGGGCTAGGTGGAGCATGGACCCGCCCAACGGGGGAGTCCACTCTCACTGTATGTAGAGGACAGATAGAGGTTGGAGGCAAACATATTGTGATTATTTTTGTTTATGTGTTAAAGGGGAAACATTTTTATTGGAGTGTCAACGGGTTGCAGGTTTGTCTTTGGGGAAGAAGTTGCTGAGAAGTTCGAAGCCAGCACAGAGGGAGTAGCTGATGAGACTCCAAGGTAGTGGAGGAGAGGACCTCGAGCTGTGAGGAGAAGCAGTGAAGAGGAGTGTCACGTGCTTCTGTAGAGGTGGTGAAGCACCATAGTTGCTCGAGGGAACTTCATGGTGTAGCAGCCAAGAGAGCTGTGGAGGAACCTAGCAGAAGGGTGAAGCACCATAGTGGCTCAAGGAAAACTTCATGATAGCAGCCTGGAGGAGCTGCAGAGGATCCTGGTAGTGAAGCCCGGAAGAACCTGAAGATATCAGGGTAGTGAACTTCCGGAGGTGGAAGGGAAGTTCTGGTGGATTACTTGTAAGGAGTTGATAGTGTTTGGTTGTCATTAGCGTGCAAGACGCAGTGAGAGGTGAGTGATTGTTTGCATTCTTATGTCAAGGAGTGTTTTATACTGAAGTTTAGAGTTACAGACGTAGGATTACCTACCTACAGATGGTAATCCTACCTGGATTACCTACAGATGTATGTGTTCTAGGACTGATAGGGTGATCGATTGTTCATTGTTGTGTATCAAGGAACATTTATACTGATATATGTTATTGCATTCATATGCTGATTTTCCTTGTACACATTATATATATATATATATATATATATATATTCTCTTGCTGATGGTGCAACAGTGTATGTAGACTTGATCAACTTGAGGAGGTTGATTGTATCAGGTGGTGAATCAGGAGATAGGATACCACTTGATAAGCTGATGATAGAGTTCTGATGGTGTTGGAATGCAACCTGATTGTAATAGTATAGAGTGTAGGATTCATTATTATTATATGTGTGTATGTATTGTGTATGTGCTTTGTCCAGTAAATGTATTCCAATTTGCTGGTGTTTGCCCTTGTCCTAGTGAGGCTTCCCAGGAAATAGTAAAGGAAGAGAGAGAGAGAGAGAAAGAACCAAGAACCACTGCTGTGGACAGGGTAGGATGGAAAATTAGTAAGTCAAAAGGGGATTGAAGAGATCATATCACCTAAGGAGAGAGTGGGGAGTCACAGCGGCTCGAGTGGGTGTGTGCACGTGACAACGAGGCTAAGTGTTGGAGCCGCATCCCCTAAACGTGTGACGTTGAGCCCCTCTCCAGGAGCCAGAAGCGCCTAGTGTGATCTCCTAGTGAGGTATAAGCACTTTTTTTTTTTTTTTTTTTTTTTTTTTTTTGAGATATATACAAGAGTTGTTACATTCTTGTACAGCCACTAGTACGCGTAGCGTTTCGGGCAAGTCCTTAATCCTATGGTCCCTGGAATACGATCCCCTGCCGCGAAGAATCGTTTTTTCATCCAAGTACACATTTTACTGTTGCTTTAAACAGAGGCTACAGTTAAGGATTTGCGCCCAGTAAATCCTCCCCGGCCAGGATACGAACCCATGACATAGCGCTCGCGGAACGCCAGGCGAGTGTCTTACCACTACACCACGGAGACTGCACCACGGAGACTCTACCGAGTTGTGGGTTGGGTTGTCCGTAAAGGAGGATCAACGACGACAACACCACCGACCCACACCACTATAATAAAGAGAACATTATAAGACTGAAAAAGATCACAGAAAATGGAGAAAACTGGTGAAGAATATGAACTGAACAAGTAGTGAACATTTGCAGAACATGGAGTGAGCATTAAAATACATTGAAGAGTGTGCGAAGAACACAGTAGTAGTAGTAGGCATCCATCAGTCTCAGGAGACTATGGAGTTGCGCTCTGATTGTCGGTCTGGAGTGGCCTCACCAGGGCGCAAAGCCAGGGTAGGTTGATTCGGGGGAGAAGCTGTTACCCAGGCAGCAGGTCCCCCCTCTCCACGGCGCTGAAAGTCTCCAATGGAAAGGTATACGCCAATACGATTAGTTCCAGCGCCGTCGCAGGAACTGTGAGTCCCGGGGATGACCTCGAAGGTGGTGAAGAAGGTTCACGGCGGAAGAACACAGTGAATATAGAGGAAATATACAAATACAGTACAATTATTGAAGGGTTGGATAAGTTGGGAAATGGGTAAGACGAAAGGGGGAAGTAAGAGATGAGAAGGTAAGGGGGGGGGGGAAAGTAAAGGGTGTGGGGAGATAAGGACAAAAGGGAGTTGGGCAAGATAAGGGGGTAAGGGGAGGGGAGGTAAGGGATGAGAAGGTAAGAGAGGGTAAAGGTTAGGTGTTATTTGACCGTGTGATTATTGCTTAGTTGAGTAAACAAAAGGTATTGAAGGAAGGGTGCGATCTGGCCGTGTGAATATTAGCACGTTAGTGATTATTGACATAGCTCTTGAAACGTGGTGGAGATAGGGTCCCTCGATTGTTTCAAGCGCGGGTTGGACATGTATATGAGTGGGATTGGCTGGTTATAAATAGGAGTTGCAAAGAGAAGCAAAGAATGGCAAACACTTCATCCGGCCCTGGGGATTTGTTTGGTTTGAGTTTCACTATTTGTTTAATTACATCCTCCCTGGTAACTGCTAAACTCGTCAACCTGTCCTCGTCCCCACCCACATAGACTTGTTCGGCTGAAGGTATTGTGTTAAGTTCATCTTTAGTAAATACAGATATAAAATATTTATTAAAAATACTACTCATCTCCTCGTCATTATCCGTTATTTGACCTGTCTCAGTTTTTAATGGACCTATCCTTTCCCTAGTCTTAGTTCGATATAACTGAAAAAAACTTAAGGATTTGTCTTTGCTTGCTCTGCTATGCGAACTTCATAGTTTCTTTTTACCCTCCTTATCTCCTTTTTAACATTTCTAACCAGTTGTACGAATTTTTGTTCTAAACTGACTTCCCCATTCCTTATCCTTTTGTACCGAGCTCTCTTTCTACCTATAAGGTTCTTCAGATTCTTTGTTATCTATTACGGATCATTAGCATTCGATCTATTCAATTTGTATGTATACTACGTTCCTGTGCTTTGCTTAGAATATTTGTAAATAAGTTGTGTTTTGAATCCACATCGTAATCCCTTTTTACGTCACCATGGTGGAGCTCTCTATATCATTCGACTTTGTGAACTTTGTGCACATGGCAGCTGCAGAGAAGGTGGTTATCAGCTGGTGATAAGTTATCTTGGCCACCTCAGTCGCCACCAGGCTGCCTCCCCACCACTCCCCGCACCAGTCCAAGTAATTACTTACAACCTAAACTATCTATATTTAAGGTGAATAATAAAGTGAATAAGCTTGTAGTCAGGTGTTCAAGTGTCACACGAAAGGACTCAGATTTCCATATCTTTGTTGTTTCTCATCTGAACGGAAAAGTGAACTTCCAGTATGAAGTGGGTCCCGGTATTGCAGTCGGGGTCGTTCTCGAAGCACAGTCGAGAATTCCGGGTTCGAATCCCAGGCGGGACAGAAATGGTTGGGCACATTTTCTTTCACTGAATGTGCCTGTTCACCTAGCAGTAAGAAGGTAGTCAGGAGTTAGTCAGCTTGTTGCGGGGTCAGTAATTCGACCTTGAAGGGAGGCAGGTCTTGATATAAGCATATAACGTGTATGAATACACTCTGGCTACCTGTCCCCTGACACACAATGAATTATTATTAATTATAATGAATGCCACCAGCATGCAGGAGTGGTCATTAAGGTCAAGTGTGTACACACAGTGACCAGTGGTCACACCTCCCTCACCACAATACTCCTGGGTAGGCGGCTCCTGGGTTTTTATGTACCTCTCTTTTATATATCTTTATATATATATTATACCTCTTTCTTATATACCTTTATATATATATATATATATATATATATATATATATATATATATATATATATATATATATATATATATATATATATATATATATATATATATATATGTCGTACCTAGTAGCCAGAACGCAATTCTCAGCCTACTATGCAAGGCCCGATTTGCCTAATAAGACAAGTTTTCATGAATTAATTATTTTTCGACTACCTAACCTACCTAACCTAACCTAACCTAACTTTTTCGGCTACCTAACCCAACCTAACCTATAGAGATAGGTTAGGTTAGGTTAGGTAGGGTTGGTTAGGTTCGGTCATATATCTACGTTAATTTTAACTCCAATAAAATAAAATTTACCTCATACATATGGAAATGGGTAGCTTTATCATTTCATAAGAAAAAAATTAGAGAAAATATATTAATTCAGGAAAACTTGGCTTATTAGGCAAATTGGGCCTTGCATAGTAGGCTGAGAAGTGCGTTCTAGCTACTAGGTACGACATATATATATATATATATATATATATATATATATATATATATATATATATATATATATATTAGTATATTTTGGTAGCAGTCTTTCCTGTAGACATATATTATTAAATATGACCGAAAAAGTAAGACTAATAATTCTAACACGAATTTTCTCAATCTTTCGTACATTACGCTTCACTGTTGGAGGTAAATCAAAAATCAATTCTCCAAAATTCATTTTTATTTCTAGTCTGACGCGACACGGGCGCGTTTCGTAAAACTTATTACATTCTCAAAGACTTTAGTTCACAAATACACAACTGAATAGAACTTACGTATCTCCGATTTTATATCTACATTTGAGTGAGGTGGAAGGGGTGATGTGGCATTAACACAAGACAGAACAAAATGTGGTATTAATAGGGTATTAATTTCATCAACACAAGACAGAACAAGAGTATTAATAGGGTATTAATTTCATCAACACAAGACAGAACACGAAGCAATGGATATTGAATAGAAGTGTTTGTAGAAAGCCTATTGGTCCATATTTCTTGATGCTTCTATATTGGAGCGGAGTCTTGAGGTGGGTAGAATATAGTTGTGCAATAATTGGCTGTTGATTGCTGGTGTTGACTTCTTGATGTGTAGTGCCTCGCAAACGTCAAGCCGCCTGCTATCGCTGTATCTATCGATGATTTCTGTGTTGTTTACTAGGATTTCTCTGGCGATGGTTTGGTTGTGGGAAGAGATTATATGTTCCTTAATGGAGCCCTGTTGCTTATGCATCGTTAAACGCCTAGAAAGAGATGTTGTTGTCTTGCCTATATACTGGGTTTTTTGGAGCTTACAGTCCCCAAGTGGGCATTTGAAGGCATAGACGACGTTAGTCTCTTTTAAAGCGTTCTGTTTTGTGTCTGGAGAGTTTCTCATGAGTAGGCTGGCCGTTTTTCTGGTTTTATAGTAAATCGTCAGTTGTATCCTCTGATTTTTGTCTGTAGGGATAACGTTTCTATTAACAATATCTTTCAGGACCCTTTCCTCCGTTTTATGAGCTGTGGAAAAGAAGTTCCTGTAAAATAGTCTAATAGGGGGTATAGGTGTTGTGTTAGTTGTCTCTTCAGAGGTTGCATGGCTTTTCACTTTCCTTCTTATGATGTCTTCGACGAAACCATTGGAGAAGCCGTTATTGACTAGGACCTGCCTTACCCTACAGAGTTCTTCGTCGACTTGCTTCCATTCTGAGCTGTGGCTGAGAGCACGGTCGACATATGCGTTAACAACACTCCTCTTGTACCTGTCTGGGCAGTCGCTGTTGGCATTTAGGCACATTCCTATGTTTGTTTCCTTAGTGTAGACTGCAGTGTGGAAACCTCCGCCCTTTTCCATGACTGTTACATCTAGAAAGGGCAGCTTCCCATCCTTTTCCATCTCGTAAGTGAAACGCAGCACGGAACTCTGCTCAAATGCCTCCTTCAGCTCCTGCAGATGTCTGACATCAGGTACCTGTGTAAAAATGTCGTCAACATACCTGCAGTATATGGCCGGTTTCAAGTTCATGTCGACTAAGACTTTTTGCTCGATGGTAGCCATGTAGAAGTTTGCAAACAGGACACTTAGGGGAGAACCCATGGCGACCCCATCTACTTGCTTATACATGTGCCCATCCGGGCTCAAGAAGGGTGCCTCTTTAGTACAAGCTTGGAGTAGTTTCTTCAGAATATTTTCTGGTATGTCAAGAGGAGTACAGGCTGGATCACGATACACTCTGTCGGCTATCATTCCGATTGTCTCGTCCACAGGTACGTTGGTAAACAGCGATTCTACCTCCAACGAGGCTCTTATCCCTGTGGCCCGTGTGCCCCGCAGTAAGTCAACAAATTCCTTTGGAGACTTTAGGCTGAAGGCGCAAGGAACATAAGGAGTCAGCAGGCCGTTGAGTCGCTTCGCCAGTCTGTACGTGGGTGTGGGTATCTGGCTAATGATTGGCCGAAGTGGGTTTCCAGGCTTGTGCGTCTTGACATTTCCATACGCATATCCAGGTTTATATTCCCCAATGATCTTTGGCAGGTGGAGTCCGGATTTCTTGGCGTTCACAGTTTCGATCAGTTTGTTGACCTTTGCTTTTAATTCGGCTGTAGTGTCCTTCGTTACCCTTTGGAACTTAGTTTGGTCAGAGAGTATGATGTTCATTTTCGCCAGATATTCGTCTTTTTTAAGAATGACATATATTGGCGACTTGTCACCTCTCCTGACAACTATCTCCTTGTTCTCACGAAGGCTTTTAGCTGCCGCTTTAAGCTCGGGGGACAGTATGGTGCTTCTGTAATTGCCTCGATTCTTTCCTCCTTCTGCAATAAGTTCTGCTTGTAAGGTATCTTTGGTAGTGACCTTCTTTTGTGTCTCGAGGTCGAATATGTCGTCCAACAGAATTTCCAACTCTACTTTCCGGGCCATTTCACTCGGTCTGGACATGACATGACAGTTTATGCCCAGATTTAGGATAATTTGGGCAGTTTATGCCCAGATTTTATATATATATATATATATATATATATATATATATATATATATATATATATATATATATATATATATATATATATATGTCGTACCTAGTAGCCAGAATGCACTTGTCAGCCTACTATGCAAGGCCCGATTTGCCTAATAAGCCAAGTTTTCATGAATTAATTGTTTTTCGACTACCTAACCTACCTAACCTAACCTAACCTAACTTTTTCGGCTTCCTAACCAAACCTAACCTATAAAGATAGGTTAGGTTAGGTTAGGTAGGGTTGGTTAGGTTCGGTCACATATCCACGTTAATTTTAACTCCAATAAAAAAAATTGACCTCATACATAATAAAATGGGCAGCTTTATCATTTCATAAGAAAAAATTAGAGAAAATATATTAATTCAGGAAAATTTGGCTTATTAGGCAAATCGGGCCTTGCATAGTAGGCTGAGAAGTGAGTTCTGGCTACTAGGTACGACATATTATATATATATATATATATATATATATATATATATATATATATATATATATATATATATATATATATATATATATATATTATTATTAAATATGACCGAAAAAGTAAGATTATAATTCTAACACGAATTTTCTAGATCTTTCTTACGTTTCTTTTCACTGTTGATGGTAATTCAAAGATCAATTCTCCAAAATTCATTTTTATTTCTAGTCTGACGCGACACTTGAGTGCGTTTCGTAAAACTTATTACATTTTCAAAGACTTTAGTTTACACACACACACACAACTTTAACTGAATAGAGCTTAAACATCTTTAGAGTTTTTATACCTACATTTGGGTGAAGTGACATGTTACAATAGTTTTGGATGAGGTGAAAATAAACTTTTAACACAAAACAGAACACGAAACAATGAAATACAAACAGGTATTAAAGGTAGGTAACTGCAGGAGGCCTATTTTTATTGGCCCATATTTCTTGATGCTTCTATATTGGAGCGGAGTCTTGAAGTGGGTAGAATATAGTTGTGCATTAATTGGCTGTTGATTGCTGGTGTTGACTTCTTGATGTGTAGTGCCTCGCAGACGTCGAGCCGCCTGCTATCGCTGTATCTATCGATGATTTCTGTGTTGTTTGCCAAGATTTCTCTGGTGATGGTTTGGTTGTGGGAAGAGGCTATATGTTCCTTAATGGAGCCCTGTTGCTTATGCATCGTTAAACGCCTGGAAAGAGATGCTGTTGTCTTGCCTATATACTGAGTTTTTTGAGGCTTACAATCCCTAAGAGGGCATTTGAAGGCATAGACGACGTTGGTCTCTTTTAAAACGTTCTGCTTTGTGTCTTGGTGTTGGCAAAGGTGTTGACTTTTTAATGTGTAGTGCCTCGCAAACGTCAAGCCGTCTGCTATCGCTGAATCTATCGATGATTTCTGTGTTGTTTACTAGGATTTCCCACAACCAAACCATCGCCAGAGAAATCCTAGTAAACAACACAGAAATCATCGATAGATACAGCGATAGCAGACGGCTTGACGTTTGCGAGGCACTACACATTAAAAAGTCAACACCAGCAATCAACAGCCAATTAATGCACAACTATATTCTACCCACCTCAAGACTCCGCTCCAATATAGAAGCATCAAGAAATATGGACCAATAGGCTTTCTACAATCACTTCCATTCAATACCCATTGTTTCGTGTTCTGTCTTGTGTTGATGAAATTAATACCCTATTAATACCACCTCACCCCATCCACCTCACTCAAATGTAGATATAAAGAAATCGGAGATGTGTAAGTTCTATTCAGTTGTGTATGTGTAAACTAAAGTCTTTGAAAATGTAATAAGTTTTACGAAACGCGCTCAAGTGTCGCGTCAGACTAGAAATAAAAATGAATTTTGGAGAATTGATTTTTGAATTACCACCAACAGTGAAAAGAAATGTACGAAAGATCGAGAAAATTAGTGTTAGAATTATTAATCTTATTTTTTCGGTCATATTTAATAATATATATATATATATATATATATATATATATATATATATATATATATATATATATATATATATATATATGTCGTACCTAGTAGCCAGAACTCACTTCTCAGCCTACTATGCAAGGCCCGATTTGCCTAATAAGCCAAGTTTTACTGAATTAATATATTTTCTCTAATTTTTTTCTTATGAAATGATAAAGCTGCCCATTTCATTATGTATGAGGTCAATTTTTTTTTATTGGAGTTAAAATTAACGTAGATATATGACCGAACCTAACCAACCCTACCTAACCTAACCTAACCTATATTTATAGGTTAGGTTAAGTTAGGTAGCCAAAAACGTTAGGTTAGGTTAGGTTAGGTAGGTTAGGTAGTCGAAAAAACAATAATTCATGAAAACTAGGCTTATTAGGCAAATCGGGCCTTGCATAGTAGGCTGAGAAGTGAGTTCTGGCTACTAGGTACGACATATATATATATATATATATATATATATATATATATATATATATATATATATATATATATATATATATATATATATATATATATATATATATATATATATATATATATATATATTCAGTTACCATCAACAGTGAAAAGAAATAATATATATATATATATATATATATATATATATATATATATATATATATATATATATATATATATATATATATATATATATATATATATATATATACACAACTTTAGAACACTTTCCCACCAGGAGATTCGAACCCTAGCCAGCACAGAAGCCTTACAGCAACTGGCATAACTACGCGTTTAACCCACTGCACCAAACTCAGACCCTTAAAGGAGATGGTAATTTCGGGGTATTTAAACCCCCCAAAGATCATCACCTCCCAAGGGCAACTAGAGTTAGTGAGGGGTCACTCACGTTCTTTCATCAAATTCCTGTTAATATGGTAGAACTCTGTGTCTATGCTTAATGCACAACTTGCCTAAACACACAAGAGAAGTCATACAACTTTAGAACACTTTCCCACCAGGAGATTCGAACCCTAGCCAGCACAGCTGGCTAGGCTAGGGTTCTGTGCTGGTTAGGGTTCGAATCTCCTGGTGGGAAAGTGTTCTAAAGTTGTATGACTTCTCTTGCGTGTTTAGGCAAGTTGTGCATTATATATATATATATATATATATATATATATATATATATATATATATATATATATATATATATATATATATATATATATATATATATATGTCGTACCTAGTACCCAGAACGCACTTCTCAGCCTACTATATATATATATATATGTCGTACCTAGTAGCCAGAACGCACTTCTCAGCCTACTATGCAAGGCCCGATTTGCCTAATAAGCCAAGTTTTCATGAATTAATGGTTTTTCGACTACCTAACCTACCTAACCTAACCTAACCTAATTTTTTCGGCTACCTAACCTAACCTAATCTATTAAGATAGGTTAGGTTAGGTTAGGTAGGGTTGGTTAGGTTCGGTCATATATCTACGGTAATTGTAACTCCAATAAAAAAAAATTTACCTCATACATAATGAAATGGGCAGCTTTATCATTTCATAAGAAAAAAATTAGAGAAAATATATTAATTCATGAAAACTTGGCTTATTAGGCAAATCGGGCCATGCATAGTAGGCTGAGAAGTGCATTCTGGCTACTAGGTACGACATATATATATATATATATATATATATATATATATATATATATATATATATATATATATATATATATATATATATTTTGGTAGCAGTCTTTCCTGTAGACATATATTATTAAATATGACCGAAAAAGTAAGATTAATAATTCTAACACGAATTTTCTCAATCTTTCGTACATTATGCTGTGGACGAGACAATCGGAATGATAGCCGACAGAGTGTATCGTGATCCAGCCTGTACTCCTCTTGACATGCCAGAAAGTATTCTGAGGAAACTACTCCAAGCTTGTACTAAAGAGGCACCCTTCTTGAGCCCGGATGGGCACATGTATAAGCAAGTAGATGGGGTCGCCATGGGTTCTCCCCTAGGTGTCCTGTTTGCAAACTTCTACATGGGTACCATCGAGCAAAAAGTCTTAGTCGACATGAACTTGAAACCGGCCATATACTGCAGGTATGTTGACGACATTTATACACAGGTACCTGATGTCAGACATCTGCAGGAGCTGAAGGAGGCATTTGAGCAGAGTTCCGTGCTGCGTTTCACTTACGAGACGGAAAAGGATGGGAAGCTGCCTTTTCTAGATGTAACAGTCATGGAAAAGGGCGGAGGTTTCCACACTGCAGTCTACACAAAGGAAACAAACATAGGAATGTGCCTAAATGCCAACAGCGACTGCCCTGACAGGTACAAGAGGAGTGTTGTTAACGCATACGTCGACCGTGCTCTCAGCCACAGCTCAGAATGGAAGCAAGTCGACGAAGAACTCTGTAGGGTAAGGCAGGTTCTAGTCAATAACGGCTTCTCCAATGGTTTCATTGAAGACATCATAAGAAGGAAAGTGAAAAGCCATGCAACCTCCGAAGAGACAACTAACACAACACCTATACCCCCTATTAGACTATTTTACAGGAACTTCTTTTCCACAGCTCATAAAACAGAGGAAAGGGTCCTGAAAGATATTGTTAATAGAAACGTTATCCCTACAGACAAAAATCAGAGGATACAACTGACGATTTACTATAAAACCAGAAAAACGGCCAGCCTACTCATGAGAAACTCTCCAGACACGAAACAGAACGCTTTAAAAGAGACTAACGTCGTCTATGCCTTCAAATGCCCACTTGGGGACTGTAAGCTCCAAAAAACCCAGTATATAGGGAAGACAACAACATCTCTTTCTAGGCGTTTAACGATGCATAAACAACAGGGCTCCATTAAGGAACATATAATCTCTTCCCATAACCAAACCATCGCCAGAGAAATCCTAGTAAACAACACAGAAATCATCGATAGATACAGCGATAGCAGGCGGCTTGACGTTTGCGAGGCACTACACATCAAGAAGTCAACACCAGCAATCAACAGCCAATTATTGCACAACTATATTCTACCCACCTCAAGACTCCGCTCCAATATAGAAGCATCAAGAAATATGGACCAATAGGCTTTCTACAAACACTTCTATTCAATACCCATTGTTTCTGTTCTGTCTTGTGTTGATACTTTTAATACCCTATTAATATCCTCTAGTGTTCTGTCTTGTGTTAATGCCACATCATCCTTCCCACCTCACTCAAATGTAATGCCACATCACCCTTCCCACCTCACTCAAATGTAGATATAAAATCAGGGAAACGCAAGTTCTAATCAGTTGTGTATTTGTGAAGTCTTTGAAAATGTAATAAGTTTTACGAAACGCGCCCGTGTCGCGTCAGACTAGAAATAAAAATGAATTTTGGAGAAGTGATTTTTGATTTACCTCCAACAGTGAAGCATAATGTACGAAAGATTGAGAAAATTCGTGTTAGAATTATTAATCTTACTTTTTCGGTCATATTTAATAATATATATATATATATATATATATATATATATATATATATATATATATAATATATATATATATATATATATATATATATATATATATATATATATATATATATATATATATATATATATATATATATATATATATATATATATATATATTTAGGTAGCCTAAAAAGTTAGGTTAGGTAAGTTAGGTAGTCGAAAGACAATTAATTCATGAAAACTTGGCTTATTAGGCAAATCTGGCCTTGCATAGTAGGCTGAAAAGTGCGTTCTGGCTACTAGGTACGACACACATATATATATATATATATATATATATATATATATATATATATATATATATATATATATATATATATATATATATATAAAACTGTCAGCGCTCGATTCCCGATGGTCCAACTGGCTGGGGCATTGTTCTCACATTTAGGCTCCTTGTCCTCATACTCTGCTGCAAGTACAATATATTTATCCTGGCTTAGCGCTTTCTCCTCATAATTATCTGAACTTTTAACAGAAGACTATAGGACGGTGGTGAGGTGTTGCCGGTGGCCCCATGGACGTGCTGGAGTGCAAGGTGTGCTTCGAGTCGTACAACTCCGTCAACAGGAAACCCCGCTCCTTCAGATGCGGCCACACCTTTTGTTCAGTGTGTCTGGAGGACATGTTGGTGCGGGGGTCGTGCTCGTGCCCCCGCTGCCGCCACGACCACAACGCTCTCTCGCTTAACGATATCCCTGTTAACTACAGCATCTTGTCGCTCATAGATGCCGTCGAGAGCTCTTCTGTAGACCTGTCAGAGTTGTGTGCACCCGAGGCGCCCGTCAGGACCCCCAAGACCACGGCGGGCGTCTGTGATGACCACGGCAATCATCTAGTTTTCTTCTGTACAAATTGCGACAAATTTATCTGTCGTGACTGTACCATCCTGGACCACCCGAAGGTGGATCACAGCGTAATCACCATTAAGAACTTGTTATCCCAGAAGAAAGAAGAAAACAAGGCAGCTGTTGAGACAGTAAAACAGCAGAGTAAACAAGAAATGGATGATCTCCTGAAATACTTGGATGAACTACGGGTTGAAACGAACATGCTTGACAAACTAAATGAACAGATTAAGAAGGCGATGGTGCTGAGTGTGGAGGAGCAGGACCGCGTGAAGCAGGCCATGACAGCAGCAGACCAGGTGCCGCTCCAGCTATCGGCCGTCACACGCGCTATGGACGAGGCTTCAACCTTAGACGATGTCAACAACGCTGCTACTAGAACCAGGGGCCTTAAGCAGCATTTTGAACAAATGGTTATTGACAACACGACAAGACTTATGTCTCACGAAAACAGGAACAACTTTCTTAAAGTAAGTAATACAATTCGAGCAGTCAAACTTCACAGATATTTATGAACTCTCAGGTATGCGATTTTCGTAATGCTAGCTTATGCATTTAAACAAGTTATTTAGGAATATGTTCTTGGATAAATTAGAACTTAGCAGCCTCACAGTCATATGAGAACTGTTCATAACACTCCTAATTAAGTCCTAAATATTAAAGTATTTTAACATATATTATGTTCTCTGAACTAATAATACAGCAAGATCAACCATTAAAATCCATTTAATTTACAATTCAGATATATAAAGTACACATCTACATGTCTATCAATAGAATATCTGTTTGTCTAAGGTTGTAGACAAATACAGGCTAATAGACTTTCGAAACCGGCAATATGAATATGACTGAGATTGTTTTGTTGCAGTGGCTGATGATGATGATCTCTGGTTGTGAGGTGCGTGAGGGCGCGGGCGGCGGGCGTGCCATCTACCTGCTGCAGGAGGGTGATGGCGCCACCCGCAGCGCGCCCATCACCCTGCTCCATGGCCGCCTCCACCTTCACGCTCTCTCTAGTAAACAACCTCCAGACGACGCTCTCGTCCTCCCTGTAAGTCACACATACACATTTCCTTCCTGTCCTCATCCGCCTTACAGGCCTCTCTCGACGCCGCACCGAGCCTCAGTGGGTCGTCTTTCCATTTCCTTCCTGTCCTCATCCGCCTTGGCTCCAACCTTGACACCTTTGCACCCTGGGGGGGCCGCTGGACAATTAACATAGCGCGATATATTGCTGTCAGGCTCTTCAGTTGGGGTCCCACACAAGTTGATGCGATTTTCCCGTTCTCCTGTTGTATCGACTTGGACTAATTTTGAATTAAATATTTACACATTTCTTGAACATTTGTTAAAGAATTGTCTCTGAATTCACGTATCTTTTCGCACTCCATCAATATAGTGACGGAGGGTGTGCGAATAATTTAGTTGACAGATTACATTTGGTCAGGTCTACATCAGCAGGTAATGAACATTCCTAGACACTTACAATTTGAAATTTCAAGAACAAAAGTGTGGGGGTTTTCTGCTTTGCTTTCACGACTGCAATGCGTACGTCGCCACTGTACATGTGGCAGACGCTTCACGAAGCTGTCGGAATTTGCAGAATAGAAAATACGAGAGCAACCGTACAGGGCCTGGGAGCAAGGTCGAGTTAGAGTCCTTGAGGGTCTCTTCTCAGACTAGTCTCACCTGGTCCTGGTCCACGTTGATCGTTGGAATCTCCTCAATGATTTAACACTTTAAGGGACTCCTAGGGTCCTCATCACATGTATAGTTTAGTGAGTAATAGGCAACTCGGTGTTGAAGACACTTAGAGCTGAAGGCTTGAGTAAATAGTTGGCAGTATTCAGAAGTGGTTCAACGGAAACACCGCATAAAGCTTAACAGTAGTTTATTTACTAACTTAACCACTAATACAAAGGGTGCTTGATTTACTTTAGATTGGCGTCAGAAAGGCTATGGTTGCAGTAGCGAGACTCTTGACGTCTGGCTAAACGACTCGTATCCACTCGTGGAGTAACACCTAACTTAACACAGTTGACAGCCAATCATTAACACGGCAACCTAACTGCCGGTATGCAAAGGGATCACAAGAGTTCCAACCGGATACTCGGTAATGATGATATGCAATAAACACAACTACACTGTCAATGGGACAGGCAATAACATGTACAATAATAATGTCACACAATAACTAAATGTGTGGTGTATGTGAAGCTCACATTCACAGACGAGTGAAATGCAGTGATACCACACAGATAAACACGCATTCACCGTCGATTCACCTATGACCTGTGACAGGTATGAGAAGGTGAGAACTGTGGTTGATAACTCAGATCAACACAGACTCAATAAAACAATGACAAGATCTTGTACTTACAGATAGGGTACCTTTCCTTACTCACTCACTCAGGCACATTTATACAAGCACTCGTAGGTGGCCTGACAGCTGGCTTCGCTCGTAGACACGGAGGGTACTTGCAGTAGGGCGGGCTGTATGCTTAACAGACAGACACACACACACACACTGGCATTGGCGATGAGTAAGGTGGTGACGTCACGTAGTAGTGAGGGCGGCGGCGGCGCTCGAGGTACTGGGGTACACACTCGTAGCGGCTGTGGTACCATGCAGGTACACTTGTGGTAAAGTCACACACAGGATACTTAGGCGGCAGCACTGCCTTAGTTCACTCTAAGTCACTCACAACGATCTTTGTCACCAGGGGTTACCTGATACCAGTCTGTTTCGCTCTGGAAATTTGTCACTTTAGGCTTCTGAATAATATATTCACACTCGTGATTCTGGGCGAGTGTGTCATATAATCTTCAGACGCTGAGTTAACTTGACGGTGAGGAATAGACAGTGTTCTTCTATCTATTGGCCGTTAGATAGAACAGGACACGTCCTCTATGCAAGAGATCCCTCACAAGAATGGGTTTTTGCCTGAAGCTCAGGGCGTCTTGTGGCACACACAAGGGGATTACAATTTGACCAATGGCATTGCAGAAAATGAGCGGGAACCAATCATATTAGCTCGTTCGATGAGCAGTAGGAGGAGTGACGTCATGAACACGTCACGACCATAGCTGTTATTCACCATCGCGCCGGTTGACCCCAGAGGTCAGACGCTGCTAGCGTCTCCCCTCTGTCCCACGCTCCACCACCGATGTACTCACTAACCCTGTGGCAAGTATGCTTAACTCCCTGTATCTACTTCCTGCCTGGACATACGGCGGCCTCCGTATTATAAAAGTGTTCCTGGTTAAGTGGGCATTCTGGAGATACCCAACATGCCAGGTCACTATCCTGGGTTAACAGAAATAGGACCTTGTGCACAAGATCGGTGCACTGTGCACAGCAATGAGCCATTCCAGTCAGCTGTGGGAGAATCTTGAGAGGCACTCTCTCACAAAAAGATTATAGATTCAAGCTAAGGCAACAAAGATGTCGAAAAAAATGTATCAAGTTTTCTTTTACAAAGAGAATGGTAGATGATTTGGAGCAAGTGAGAAGGCGTTGGACCCCATACCCATCCTGTGGGCGGCGGTGGACCCCATACCCATCCTGTGGGCGGTGGTGGACCCCATACCCATCCTGTGGGCGGTGGTGGACCCCATACCCACCCGTGGGCACACCCACCCAACTGGGCGGCAGCTTTACAGTCATGTGCAGCTGCACCTACAGTAAGCAAGCCGCGCAACCCGTCCTCGACTCAAGTCCATTACATTCAGCGGTCGACCCCACAGACGCATTCATACATTTTAACATGCTGTTCATTCAAAACGGGAATTTTCTCAAATATAAATTAATATTATAATATATTAATATATTGTGCATATATTTGCATAGTTTAGGTTAGGTTAGGTGTTAACCAAACCACACACTAGAAAGTGAAGGGACGACGACGTTTCGGTCCGTCCTGGACCATTCTCAAGTCGATTGAGTGGTCCAGGACGGACCGAAACGTCGTCATCCCTTCACTTTCTAGTGTGTGGTTTGGTCAACATATTTCAGCCACGTTATTGTGACTCCTCGTCTGCCTTAGGTTAGGTGTTTAGGTTCTGTTGGCGATTATTTGTATTTGCAGTACGTGGGTGAAGCATTTATAGCGTTGTGGTTCGAACAAAATTCGTCAGTGAAGCACTTGTTCCGGATATGTTCGAACGTCAGCAGTTGTGAGTCGTGTGTAAACCGCTTTTCATTCATAAACAGGGGGTTTGGCGGGTGGATGGAATCACTTTTGGATCTTTGTTTGGAGGACGGGCTGCAACTAGGTGAATACTTGTTCCGGAAGTGTTCGAATGAAATCAGTTGTGCAGCCCGTCCTCCAAACAAAGACCCAAGAGTGATTCCATGCACCCGCCAAACCCCATATTTATGAATGAAAAACGGTTTACACACGACTCACAACTGATTTCGTTCGAACACTTTCGGAACAAGTGCTTCACTGACGAATTTTGTTCGAACCACAATGCTGTAAATGCTTCACCCACGTACTACAAATGCAAATAATCGCCAACAGAACCTAAACACCTGACCTAACCTATCCTATGCCTATATATACACAATATGCTAATATGTTATAATATTCCTGACAGCTGAGTTGACAGCGCTTCGGATTCGTAGTCCTGAGGCTCCGGGTTCGATCCCCGGTGGAGGCGGAAACAAATGGGCAGAGTTTCTTTCACCCTGTTGCCCCTATTCACCTAGCAGTAAATAGGTACCTGGGAGTTAGACAGCTGCTACGGCCTGCTTCCTGGGAGTGTGTAACAAACAGGAGGCCTGGTCGACCGGACCGGGCCGCGGGGACGCTAAGCCCCGAAATCATCTCAAGATACCCTGTACGGGATGGGGTCAACAAGTGGAATGCACTGAAAGAAAAAAAACGTGGAAGCTGCTGCTATCCACAAGTTTAAACCCAATTTCGACTAAGAATTTGAATGTCACAAGGTTAGGTTTATAAGGCAGCCCGTTCTCGCACTTGCTTATAGTCAATATTGGCTTATTTAATAAGTGCATATGTGACATACTAATTGATTGTGAATATTTTAGTTTACCTTGAAAAGCTTCATAGAAAACACCGACCTCACCTAACCTTCTTAGTATGTTAAGATAAGCATCTTATTGCTTCTTAATTACAATTATTACTTAACCTATACCGTTGATAGGTTAAGTAATAATTGTAAATAAGAAGCAATAAGATGCTTATCTTAACATACTAAGAAGGTTAGGTGAGGTCGGTGTTTTATATGAAGCTTTTCAAGATAAACTAAAATATTCACAATCAATTAGTATGTCACATATGCACTTATTAAATAAGCCAATATTGACTATAAGCAAGTGCGAGAACGGGTTGCATAGGCGGGGCATTCCTAGAGCTACACCTCATCCCTGGTAGACACTGTGAGGTAAGCACTCACACTCACATTCTGGAAACTGGAACATGCTGGAGGGGTGACAGGGAGACTTCTGACATGGAGGAACATTTGCTGACAGATGAGGGACAGTAAACAGAGACAGTGTATCTGACTGGAGGAGTGTTACTAGCGGAGTACCACAGGGTTCAGTTCTTGCACCAGTAATGTTCATCGTCAACATAAACCATCTACCAGAAGGAATACAGAATTATATGAACCTGTTTGCTGATGATGCTAAGATACTGTGGAAGAGAGGATCGCAGCCGATTGTAATGCCGTTCAAATTGATCTATGTAAAATAAGTGCTTGGAGCGTCAAATGGCAAGTGGAATTCAACGTGAATAAATGTCATGTTATAGAATGTGGAATCTGATAAAATAGACCACACACAGCTTACAAATTATGTGGAAAGGAATTACAGAACTCTGATAAAGAACGAGACCTAGGAGTGGTTATGGATAGTAAGCTGTCGCCAGAGGAACCCAAGACAGCATTGCAAGAGGAGTGTATGCGTCGCTTTCCAACTTCAGACTTACTTGTAATTATATTGATGTTTAAATACTAAAGAAAAAGTTCATGACTTTTGTGAGACCAAAATTGGAATATGCAGCAGTTGTATGGAGGCCAAATCTCAAGACGCACATAAATAAACTGGAAAAGGTGCAGTGTGGCATGTTACAAAGTGGCTTCCGGAACTGAGAAACAAGTTACGAGGGGAGACTAGAGGCGTTAAACATGCCAAAACTAGAAGATAGAAGAAAGAGGTGATATGATCACCACTTACAAAATAGTAATAGGAATCGACCACATTGGCAAAGAGGAACTCCTGACACCAGCAACTTCACAAACAATTGGACACAGATTCAAGCTAAGGAAACAAAGGTGCCGAAAAAAATAGAAACTTTTCTTTTGGAAAGAGTGGCAGACGGTTGGAACAAGCTAAGTGAGAAGGTGGTGGAGGCCAAGACTGTCAGTAGTTTCAAAGCGTTATACGACAGAGTGCTGAGAAAATGGGACACCACGAGCGTAGCTCTCATCTTGTAACTACACTTAGACAATTAATTATACACACACAGCTTTAGGGAGCTAAACCTCATGTCCCCTTTAAGACAAGAGTAAGAGGAGACATGATAACCACCTACAAAATTCTCAGGGAAATTGACAGGGTAGACAAAGACAAACTCTTTAGCGGGATGAACACGAACAAGGGGACACAGGTGGAAACTTAGTACCCAAATGAGCCACAGAGATAGAAATAATTTTTTCAGTCTCAGAGTAGTTTACAAATGGAATGCATTAAACAGTGATGTGGTGGAGGCTGACTCCATACTCAGTTTCAAATGTAGATATGATAGAGCCCAGTAGGCTCAGGAATCTATACACCAGATGATTGACAGTTGAGAGGAGGGACCAAAGAGCCAAAGCTCAACCCCCGCAAGCACAACTAGGTAAGTACCCACACACGAGGCAACCCTAAGGTAATGTTTATGTCGTGTCCAGCCTTCTACTTAACTCAGTAATCCTCCGACACTTTATTGCCTAGATACTCATTCATTATTGTGTGTTCGTGGTAAGGCATCATTGATAATGAACATGTACAATGCTTATTTATATCACGTATATAATCTGCCAATTAGACCATAATATTGTGTGCACAGTACGGTCGAGTGCGGAGTCTGGTGGAGGCGTCGTCAGCGCTGACCTTCCTGCAGCTGGCATGGGGTTCCACCATCACCAGCCGGATCTACATCCGTCTTCGAAGCCAAACCCAACGGAGCCATAATTTCCTGCTGCTGTGCACGGGTGAGCGCGGGTTCACCTACAGAGGTTCCCACTTCCTCCAGGCGCACTGGCTGGGTCGCTGCGGGGAATACGTCGAGTGTGGCGACTACGAGCTCGACAACGGGTCCGGGGGCGCGCCTCTGGTAGATGCTCTTGAGTACGACGGCGAACTGAAGCAACCCATCGAGTGCGGGGTGGTGAGTGCCAGGAGTCGGGCCACCAAGACCGCCTCCATGTTCAAGATCTACACCAGAGATTCTCCCGGTTATTTTGACAAAGGTGTCTTCGGCATGGTGGAGACTGGAATGGATGTCATGAGAGAGGCTCTCACGCAGAAAGACATCATGAATGTTGAAGTGTGGGACTGCGGGGTTGTGATTCCTTTTTGACAGCTGATTGGCATATATAACTTAGGGTGACTGCAATAAATTTAAATAATATTTAATATATATATAATTCATAATGTGGCGTTCAAATATTCACTATCCTTTGTATGGTACTTATCAATGGGTTCGAGATCGACCTCAAGTACAGGTTCTAAATTAAGCAACTGACATATGTGGAGAGCTAGTGTCACAATTGATATGTTTGTCCTGCACACCGCCCCCCGTCCAGTGGGCAGCGGTGGATAGGTTACAATCACTCAGTTACTACCTACAGTTAGCAAACTGGGGATATTTGGCTAAAATTTCTGGTAGCAGATCATTTTGAATGAAATATTGACACATCGCTGGAACATTGGTTATAGAATTGTCTCTAAATTCACGTATCTTTTCGCACTCCATCACATAGTGACGGAGGGTGTGCGAATAATTTTGTTGACACAGTTTACATTTGGTCAGGTCTACATCGGCAGATAATGAGAATTCCCAGAGATACTTGTAACCGAGTCTAAGCCGAGCAGTAGTAACATCTAGAAGTCTGCTGATTTTATTGGATGATCTATAGATGTGTGGCTCCTCTTGCATGACAGTATGATGATAGATCGAATTACTGGTGTCAATTTCACTTTGCCTCAGATCTACAAAATTTTGTTGAAGATCTCGGTGTACTGCTGCTCTCAGATTGCTTATTGACAATCTAAGGTTACACTCAACGGCTCCTTTAAAGGCAGATTCTTTGGCTAACTTATCAGCTCTATCATGCATTCGGAGGCCAACATGACATTGAGTCCACATGAAATGGACTGTGTTACCATCCTTAATAATTTTGTTGTATTTGTGTTTAGCTTCGGACACGAGCATGTTACAGTTATGTCTTAAAGAGTTGAGAGCAATTAAGGATGATAAAGAATCATTTACAATTAATGTATCAAGTTTGGAGACTTGTACACATTTCAGTGCAAGGATCAAGGCAAATAGTTCGGTCTGAAGGGTAGAGGCCCAATTGTTTATACGGACTCCCCACTCAAAATATATGCCATCGCCCATTATCATAACGTCATAAATGTGTGAACATTTAATGCTAAGTTACCTTACTCAAATTTAGAGAAAGTTATAGATTTTAAAGTTACTTTAATCAATGATTTTAATATCATTACAGTTGTCAGATTGAGAGAGAACCTATTTCCGTAACAACTTACCCACAAGGTTACAATGATGGCTGTATAAACAGGTGTACAGCAGTCTATGTCACAGTTTATATTTCTGGTATAGAGTAACAGCTTACAATTTGAAAGGTGATGTACATTGGAAAATTAAAGTGTAGTTTACCATTATTGAAATAAGACAGATATTGTCACACTTTATATCACAAAATTAGGATGACGAGAAGACAATTTAAAGAGGAAATATAAACTAATCATTGCGTGAAGTTATATCATAAAAATGTTCACAGCCTCAGCATTCTCCCCTCGAGAGATTGTGCCACTATTCCAGTTCAACATCACAACACAATTCATACAACAGAGATCCGACTTCAATGGGACTCAAAATGCGTCAGTAATTCATCTGCTTTATGACAGAAGTTCCTTCAAAAGTCTAAATATCCATCTGGGGTTCTCCCTGCTTATTCTGCCGAATAAATGAAGAAGAGGACATTGGAATCAGAATCCACCATTCACTGAAGGTTAGGGGTCCGTCTCGCCATGCCCTGTGGCCGGGGGGATCGGGCTCCGAAGCTACATAAAAACCCTATACCCCCCCGAAGTGGCAAGGGGAGTTAGGGGACAAAAAAAAAAAAAAAAAAAAAAAAATTGCACAAGTGGGAGCTGCCGTTAAGAAAAAAAAACTATGAATAGTCAAGCGAACCTTTGACTTCAAGGAACAGAAAGTAGTTATTACCTGCTTGATGGGGTTCTGAGAGGAGTTCTACTGCCCAAGCCCGGCCCGAGGCCAGGCTTGGCTTGTGAGAACTTGGTCCAACAAGACTGTTCCGTGGAGCGGCCCGCAGGCCCACATATCCACCACAGCCCGGTTGGTCCGGCACTTCTTGAAGAAAACTATCTAGTTTTCTCTTGAAGATGTCCACGGTTGTTCCGGCAATATTTCTTATGCTCGCTGGGAGGACGTTGAACAACCGCGGACCTCTGATGTTTATACAGTGTTCTCTGATTGTGTCTATGGCACCTCTGCTCTTCTCTGGTTCTATTCTGCATTTTCTTCCATATCGTTCACTCCAGTATAATATATAGTGTTATTTTACTGTGTAGATTAGAGACCTGCCCCTTCAGTATTTTCCACGTGTATATTATTTGATCTCTCTCTCTTCTGCTTTCTAGTGAGTACATTTGGAGAGCTTTGAGACGATCCCAATAATTTAGGTGTTTTATCGTGTATGCCGTGTATGTTCTCCCTCGAATTCAGTAATCTCTCCTGCGCTTAAGGGGAAAGTAAGAATCGAGCAGTACTCAAAACGGGACAGTACAAGTGATTTGAAGAGTACAACCATTGTGATGGGATCCCTGGATTTGGAGGTTCTCGTAATCCATCCAATCATTTTTCTGGCTGACGCAATATTTGCTTGGTTGTGCTCCCTGAACGTTAGGTCGTCAGACATCATTATTCCTAAATCTTTGACATGCAGCTTTCCTACTATGGGAAGATTTGATTTTGTACTTTTTTGATCAGTGTTTTGTACCCTGTATTATGTTTTAGGTCCGTACATCACGTTATTTCCTGCTGTCCAGTTGAACACTTAATAATTGCCTGTAATTTTTTAATGTCTTAAGCGGAGGCAATTTTCATGCTGATTTTTGTCATCTGTAAAGGATGATACGAAACGGTGACTTGTATTTTTAACTACATCTGATATGAGAATAAGGAAAAGCAGTGGTGCAAGGACTGTACCCTGAGGTACAGAGCTTTTAACTGTGCTTGGACTATTTTATATAGTAGACTGTTACTCTGTTCTGTTCGACAGAAAACCAAGTATCCAGCGTCCCACTTTGCCAGTTATTCCCATTGACCTCCTTTCGTGTGCTATCACTCCATGGTCACATTTATCGAATGCCTTTGCAAAGTCCGTGTATACCACATCTGGATGTGTTTTTCTTCTAATTTTGTTAGAAAACAGTGATTTTGCCGTAATGGTCAAGTAGCCGAGAGGCATGATCTTCCTGCTCTAAATTCATGTTGGCCTGGGTTGTGGAGGTCATTGGTCTCCATGAAACTAAGTGACCTGACTCCTGATCACTCTCTCAAATACTTTTATTATGTGGGACGTTAGTACAACTGGTCTATAATTCTTAGCCAATGCTTTGCTTCCTCCTTTATGAACACAGACGGCACCGCTCCTGTGCCAGGCAAGTCCACTACGGGCTCACCATAGCCCGTGCTACTTGGAACTTGTTCCGAGTAGCTGAATCTACAACAACAATCCTCCTTTGTGTAGAGGGGCAATGTCTGCTGCTTTAAGCGCATCTGGTATCTCCCCCGTGTCCAAGCTCCTCTTCCACACTATACTGAGAGCCTGTGCTACTGGCACTTTGCATTTCTTTATAAATATTGAATTCCATGAGTCGGACTCGGGGCTGAGTGCACGGGCATATTGCCAATTTCTTTTCAACATCTGACACCGCCTATTGAACCGTATAACTCTGGTGCGGCCCCACTCTGATTACTGTATCCCAGCATGGAGACATCTTCAGGACATAGCCGCAGTGGAGAAAGTTCAACACCGGGCGACAAAAATCATTCCAGAACCAAGTCAACTCGTGTCGTATCAGGAGCGGTTGAGGGCCACAGAGCCAACAACACAACAAACCAGGCATGACGGGGCTGATCTCATTGAAAATTTAAATACTGAGCAATTTGAAAGTTATTGATTCAGACACCTTCAGAATGAGAGATGTAACACAGACGAGGATCAAGTGTTCTAAGCTCAAGCCACAATGTGGGAGAGAAAGAGCAGCAACACCAAACCTTCCCTGATATTCTAAGAAATAACGAGAGTAACCCCAAAAGTAAAAAATTGAAGACCAATATCGTTCCTGCAACACCCCCCCCCCCTCCCCCTTGTCTAAAATATTTGAAAAGCTGATCTACAAGCGGCTTTACTTCTAACAAAACACAATGTACTTAGTTTTTGCCAGATAACTTGACCCCAAAATCATACCAATAATGCACTAATTAGTGCATTATGATTAACTAATTAGTGTATGATCAACTTGGTACAGGCAGTTCGCAGACAAAAATGGGTTACCTGGTTGATGGGGTTCTGAGAGTTGTTCTCCACAAGCCCGGCCCGAGGCCACACTTAGACTTGTGAGAGTTTGGTCCACCAGGCTGTTGCTTGGAGCGGCCCGCAGGCCCATATACCCACCACAGCCCGGTTAGTCCGGAACGTCTTTTAGAAAAGTCTAGTTTTTCTCTTGATGTACTCTTTGGTTTATTTGCTGACCTTGGTAAGGCTTTTGACACTTAAATACAATAACCTTAAATTACAACACCCGAGTACTCTATCCAGTACCTGCAATGACAGGCTCCAGTGTGTCTATGAATGCTGTTACTACTATCAGTAATGATACAAATAACTCCAAATTGCCAGCCACCTCTTGGCTGCATGGCGGCAGCAGCCCAGAGACCCTTGACGAGTCGACACACTTGGATAATATTGTATTCCAGATACACACAATTGCAAGCTCTCGTGGAACTAGGGATTGATTCCTATGCAGGACGAATATGTTTGAACAAGTATCCTTTTACCTGATGAATCTATTCACCTAGCAGTAAAGAAGTTTACCTAGGGGCGGTAAAGCTAATTTAGTAGTATACAAAATTATCAATATTTTGTTGAGTTTTGATATAACATAAGTAACTTATCACTGTAGACGTATGCAGAAACTACTTGTGTAGAGGAGGAAATGTAGATGTTTATCTCGGAATGTTCGGTAATACGTTTATTGCTTGTGATATGTGTATGTATGTATGTATAAACACCATGTACTGAACGGGGTAAGAATGGCTTCAGCTACCTCATCCCTTGGTGTGTATTTTACCTCAATAAACTTATTTCAATATGCAGGAATCTTTAAGGCCCAAAATACACCAAAATATATATTAACAGGCTCACAAAGATGCAAGGCCTGGCCCCCAGGGAAATACTCCCAAAATTGTCCCAGCAAGGGATGTTAACTACAACTGTACGGAAAAAACATTTCTTCAGCATGGACAGCCAGGTTATGTATACAGGTGACCCGAGAGAGAGTAACATACCGAGGTCAGACAGGTGACATGAAGCTACTTGTCCTCCTTATTTTTCCATCTCGCTCAACACCGAAAATTTCCACTGACCTTTGTGACTAGCTTAGAGAACTACTCCCAGTAATACATTATTGGTTACAGGTTTTAGACAATTACAATGTGTGAAACAAATGAAGTCAGTGGTGGTAAAGTAGAGGGCATGTCTGACATTAAGAACATTGGACAGTTTACACGACACGTACATCATTATTGTTGTTCACTCACACGGAGCATTCAGACAATTCATGCTATAACCAGACATTACTATATAATATAGTTATGGCTATATAACCAAACAAGTACTGTACTTATCAAAGGCACCACGCCGGAAGTACTACCTAGCATCATGAATTCACCTAGTTGTGCATGCGGGGGTTGAGCTCTGCTCTTTTGGCCTGCCTCTCAATTGAATGTTTTTTCCACAAACAAACCCCCCAAGGAAGCCTCCCGTAGCAACTAACTCCTAGGTACCTATCTACTGCTAGGTAACAGGGGCATCAGGGTGAAAAACTGCCCATTTGTTTTCCGCCATCACCGAGGATTGAACCCAGACGCTAGGATTAAGAGTACCAAATGCTGTCCACTCCGCCACAGGGCCGCCCATGTGTGACAAAGAACAATGTCCTAACTAGTAGTTAGTAACTATGAAAGATGGTCATAGGAGACAGCTTTACCTGTAAAGCTGGTCTCTGACATTCTGGCTCCCTTAAAACATACCCTCCCCACAAATTTTTCATATTTATATATATATATATATAAATATCTCTAGCCTAAAGTGTGCAACCAGACCAAATATTTAGCCAGGCCAGATAGATATGCAGCTGCAAGATGTTAAACATCCTTTGTCAGGTCAATTCACTATTCAGCACATCCCTCGCACATACTGTACATTAAAATACATAGTAACTACAGTATATGTTAGATAAAGTATTTTCAATACATATCAATTGCTTGAATAAAACATTCACACTACTGTATTCTGTCCACAAGAGCAGCCAAGTCAAATTATTGAAAGGGAAAGACAAAAGACAATTATATTCCCATCAATTTATTATGAAGGACAGAATATAAAAATGAGGCTTATCGGTAGGACTTTTGGTAGCGGGCGCGAGCTCCTGGACCTCCGAACTTCTTGGGCTCACAGCGTCTGGGGTCGGCAACCAAGAGGGAACGGTCATAGTTGATCAAGATGTTTTTTATTTCTTTCTTGGAGGCTTCATCCACAACTGTAATCAAAATGGAAATACAATGAGTATAACACGTTTGAACTGCGGGGCAAAGTTTAAATGTTTACAAACACTGAACATGCCACAGGCCCACACACTAAGATGTTACGTGACCAAGGATCACATTCACTCCAAACATTTACCACCTGTGGGTTGACAGTGTTTAACACTGAACATGCTACAAAAATTATGAATAATACTTACATTTCTGGTAATATGCTACTAGAGATTTTGAAATAGCTTGACGAATGGCATACACCTGAGAGGTATGGCCGCCGCCCTTCACACGAACACGGATTGTCACGCTTGAGAATCTCTCCTGAAATAACAGAACACGTGAGAAAACCAAACATTGAATGTTGATAACTTTAAATCCTTCATAAACTGTACTGCCACAATACTGAACAGAATAATAAACATTAATGTTTGTGATTTCACTAATATAGGAATATCATTTGCAATGCTAGGACACTTGTACCATCACTGCTGCATAAAACACTCCCTCATGCAGGCGACGAGTCACAATAACGTGGCTGAAGTCTGTTGACCAGACCACACACTAGAAGGTGAAGGGACGACCACGTTTCGGTCCATCGTGGACCATTCTCAAGTCGATTGTGTATCACAATCTACTTGAGAATGGTCCAGAACCGACCGAAACGACGTCGTCCCTTCACCTTCTAGTGTGTGGTCTGATCAACTCCTTTACTTAGTTGTACTAGTTACCAATGTTATCACACATGTAACCCCCTAGCATCAAAAGCAACAAACCCCGTGTCCTCAACACAACTCTTAAACCTGCCACCACAAGAGCTAGTGTTCAGTCTGCCAGCATATTTTATGGTACAGATATATGCATTGTCTACCCAAGGCAATATTTATTAACATTTTTAATTCATCTTACAATACTGTACAATGAATGGTGCTAGTAGTAAACAAAAAAAAAAGAATTCGGGAAAAACGAACAAACTGCAGGACTATTGGCCCACATGCAGAAATTCATGTTTATATCAAAAACTGTCTAACCTCTGTTTGAAAGAAAGCCATTCATCTATTTTGTTACATGGTCAGTTTTACAACTAAGTGGGACAATGCAGTTTGGATAACAAGGAGCTGGGCGGTGTTCCACCAAGTTGCAGTTACCCCAAAAAAGTGGTGGATATTTGGGCCAGCGGGCCGCTCCATGATCAACCCTGTTTGACACACACAGTACTGTACTAGTTAAACACCAGGAAAATCAAGAGAAAAATTATGGGTATTTATTGCACAAGTGGTGTTTTGAGGGATTTCGTTCAGTGTAGACTTAAATTTGGCTCGGCTCGGATACAAAAGTTTATTCTGAAAACAATTATGAAACTTAGCACTGCATAACATGACAGGAGATAATCTTACTTCAGTAATTAATTTTAACTGCAAGACATTGCAGGAGAAGTTTTACATTACTGTGTAAATTACTATGTAAACAGTACATTACTGTGTAAACAGTGGTGCACTATAGTGTGAGGGGCCTCAATATTGAGAGGGACAACCACAAGAAGCAGATGGATTCCTGGATTCCAGGATATAACCTATACAGGTGCGATAGGAAAATTAGGTCACATGGAGGAGTGGGTCTGTATATTAGGGAAGACCTTGTATGCTCGGAGCTCCTAAACGTTACAAATGAGGTGGTAGAGGTACTGGGATTAAAAATAGAGAAAATAAATTTAGTGATTATTCTAATGTACAAACCGCCAGATGCAACGGCTGAGGAATTCACAGAACAGATAAGCAAAATAGAGAATAGCCTTGATAATTTGGAGAACCCGATACCTGATATTATCTTCTTAGGTGACTTCAACTTGCCTAGTCTCAGGTGGAGAATAGCGAACAATAATATTATACCAGGAAATCTATCAGGACCTAACCAACCACAGATTAGAGAACTACTTAGATTCTGTGACAAATTTTCACTCAATCAGCAGATATCGGAGCCAACGAGAAATGAAAATATTCTAGATCTGGTCTTTACGAACAATGAAGACATTATCAGAGACATTACGATATCAGATACCACATACTCAGATCACAAGCTCATTGAAGTGCAAACGACCATCAATACTCAGAATAGACCTAAAACGTTGATAAAGCGAGAGGGGCTATTCAGTAAATTCAATTTTAATAATAAAAGGATAGACTGGGAGATAATAAACAGGGAACTTACAAACATTCCATGGAGAACTGTTCTAAGTAATACAAGTCCTACAGAAGGAATAGAAAAACTGACTTCAGAAGCGTATCAAGTCTGTCTGAAACATGTTCCTTTGAGGAAAGCCAGAAAGAGATCTAACGTAGAAAGAAAACGCAGACGACACTATAAACGCAGGAAAAAAATAACGAAACTGCTTATGCAGACACGAATTTCCCATCAAAGAAGGAATAATTTAAATAGGGAGATTGAAGAAATCGAGCGGAAATTGAAACACTCATATGAAACTGAAGAAAGGCAGTTAGAACAGACAGCAATTCAGGAAATAAAGAAAAATCCAAAATATTTCTTCTCATATGCGAAATCAAAAGCAAAAACCACTGCCAGTATTGGACCTATTCGTACAAGTGAAGGTTCATACACGGAGGATGACAAAGAAATTAGTGAAATCCTAAAAAAGCAGTATGAGGACATGTTTAGCACTCCAATAAACAACATGAAGGTGGAAGATCCAAACAATTTCTTTATGCGGGATATTCAAACCCCTGTAAATATAACTGATATAAACACGAGCGCACTAAATTTTGAAAAAGAAATTGAAAACATGCCCATGCACTCGGCCCCAGGTCCAGACTCGTGGAATTCAATATTTATAAAGAAATGCAAAGTGCCGGTAGCACAGGCACTCGGTATAGTGTGGAGGAAGAGCTTGGACACGGGGGAGTTACCAGATGCACTTAAAGTAGCAGACATAGCCCCTCTACACAAGGGAGGGAGCAAATCATTGGCAACAAATTATAGACCAGTTGCACTAACATCGCACATCATAAAAGTATTTGAGAGAGTGATTAGGAGTCAGGTCACCAATTTCATGGAGACCAATGACCTTCACAACCCAGGCCAGCATGGATTTCGAGCGGGAAGATCGTGCCTCTCACAGCTACTTGAGCACTACGACAAAGTCACTGAGGCATTAGAAGAAAAACAGAATGCTGATTCGATATACACGGACTTCGCAAAGGCTTTCGATAAATGTGACCATGGCGTGATAGCACACAAAATGAAGTCGATGGGAATAACCGGTAAAGTAGGACGCTGGATACTCAGTTTTCTGTCAAACAGGACTCGGCGAGTAACGGTCAACCATATAAAATCTAGTCCAAGTGCAGTGAAAAGCTCTGTACCTCAGGGTACAGTCCTTGCACTGCTGCTTTTCCTTATTCTCATATCAGATATAGACAAAAATACAAGTCACAGCTTCGTATCATCCTTTGCAGATGACACAAAAATCAGTATGAAAATTACCTCGGCTGAGGACATTGAAAAACTTCAAGATGATATTAATAAAGTTTTCAACTGGGCATCAGAAAATAACATGATGTTTAACAGTGATAAATTCCAGGTACTCAGGTACGGTAAAAATGAGGACCTTAAACATAATACAGTACAAAACACAATCAAATGTACCCATAGTAGGAAAACAGCATGTAAAGGATTTGGGAATAATAATGTCTGACGACCTAACGTTTAAGGAGCATAACCAAGCAAATATTGCGACAGCCAGAAAAATGATAGGATGGATTACGAGAACTTTCAAATCCAGGGATCCCATCACAATGGTTGTACTCTTCAAGTCACTTGTGTTGTCCCGTCTTGAGTACTGCTCAGTACTCACTTCCCCCTTCAGAGCAGGAGAGATTGCTGAAATAAGAGGGAATACAGAGAACATATACGGCACGCATAGACGCAATAAAGCACCTAAATTATTGGGATCGTCTCAAAGCCCTCCGAATGTACTCACTAGAAAGAAGACGAGAGATATCAAATAATATACACCTGGAAGATACTGGAGGGCCAAGTACCAAATCTACACAGTAAAATAACAACGTACTGGAGCGAACGATATGGAAGAAAATGTAGAATAGAACCAGTGAAGAGCAGAGGTGCCATAGGCACAATCAGAGAACACTGTATAAACATCAGAGGTCCGCGGTTGTTCAACGTCCTCCCAGCAAGCATAAGAAATATTGCCGGAACAACCGTGGACATTTTCAAGAGGAAACTAGATTTATTCCTCCAAGGAGTGCCGGACCAACCGGGCTGTGGTGGGTATGTGAGCCTGCGGGCCGCTCCAAGCAACAGCCTGGTGGACCAAACTCTCAAGTCAAGCCTGGCCTCGGGCCGGGCTTGGGGAGTAGAAGAACTCCCAGAACCCCATCAACCAGGTATCAACCACTTTGGCTGGATGGTAGAGCGACAGTCTGACTTCATGCAGGTTGGCATTCAATTCCAGAAGGGATGGTTGGGCACCATCCCTTCCCCCGTCTCATCCCTAATCCTTATACTGATCCCTTCCAAATGCTATATGGCTTGGTGCTTTCCCCTGATAGTTCTCTTCCTCTCCCTACACATGTAAAATGTAAAATATTTTATTTTTGTTGTGGTTATAATGCACATTTAATGATTAAATTTTTAATATTAAATTTGTATCTCCTGTTATTAAAATACAGTACACAAAATAATGAGAGAAGTAACTTGCCTTGCCCAGGAGGAGAACAGGCTCCATCAGCTTGAACTGCAGAGTCCTGGGTTCAATGTGCTCGAGGGGTCGGCCATTGACCTTGATCAGGCCATGTCCACGCTTGCAGTGGGCAACAGCTGTGGCAGTTTTCTGTTGGGTAACAATACACCATTTAAACACTGTACAATACACAACTCGTGCCATTATGCCATTTACACAAAAAGAAGACCTACAATGATCCTACAAGTATGGTATGAAAAAAATTTGAATTACTACATTTAGTAAATGTTATGATAAATGGTACTATACATTTGCAATACTTATGGCTTTGTAGCAAATTTAAGTTTATATATACTGTATATGGAAGAAAAACAAAAGTTTCCCCACTATAAAACACTATTGCATGATATACCAGGAGCACTTTTTAAATTTACTGAAAACTTATATAAAAAAAAACATGCTACAGCAGCAAGCAACTTAACCATATTTTTTGTTTTGTTATTGTTCATACAAAATAAAAATTCTATGTTCCAAATGGATTTTTTTTTAAACAGAAACAGTATAATTATAAATATACATTTTCTAATCTACTTTTGTACCTTGTGTGAGAACGAATGATTCTAAGGGACGCTACAACAAAAGGAATAAATCGCAAATGTTCCATCTTCAGCATGGCCTACCCCACATTTCTTTAACCGGAACCACATGTATAAAAGGATCGGTGTAAAAGGGACCGGACCAGACTCCAACTAAATTGAGTCCATGCTCCTCTATTACCACTCCTTGATATTTGACAAAAAAATGCAATGTACCCAAAACAGCCAGTGCAGCAAGCGAATGAAAATATTGGATAAAAATCCACACTTGTGTATTTGTGAAATTTATATAAGGAATTTGCACTCTCCTGAGTGCTGAGTGCAAAACTTGCACTCATGAGTTCTCCTGGGTGCAAAACTTGACTTGATCGAGTAATCAACTTGAGAATGGTCCAAGATGGACAAACGTTGTCATCCCTTCACTTTCTAGTGTGATTTGATGAACATATTTCAGTCACGTTATTGCGACACTTTACCAATTTTATTTTTACCAATCAATTTTACAATACCAATTCAATTTTACCAATCTGCATTGTCAAGTTTTGGAGCTTGTGATTAGAAGACGACTTGCACCTCGACGTGTAATGAGGCTGTTATCCTGGGTCCAGTCCTCTCATTCTTTACCACCTGACCATGTCACCTCTACTCCCCATTTCTAATGTACCTGTGGTAACGTCTTGTACGGAAATATGGTCATGTGACCTTTCTGTAATCCTGCTATTCTGGGAACTGGAGTTATTAATAAAGGTGTTCATCTGGATGCTATCACTCGTAACCCTCTCAATACCCCCAAGGAATGCGGCTAATGGGACCGCTTTCATTACTCCATTTATTGAGATTTAATTTTAATTCACGCAATCAGTTTCCTAGTAAAGCTATTGTAAAGCTTTTGATGTTAGCAAAAATATTTGGAGTACTAGTATTTATTAGAACCCCTTCCACTGCCCTTCTAGTTGTAATATTACTTTTGTAGATCATTTCACTTTTCTGAAAATCAATAGTGTGATCTTTTCCCAACTATGGTTTGCTACAACGCTCTTACCATCCATAATTCTACACACATTGTTCTTCAATTCTGATATAGTTTTTGCCCTGTTCCCCCAAATACTTCATTAAGGGGGCATTAGGTTCCAAAAATGCAATAAATGAAAACTCGTTCGATTTCAATCAAACTTTTTTGACAAGTTCTATATGAAAAGTGTTTCATCTGGTCCAAGTTTCAGCATCGTAGCATAAATAGGAAGGGAGAAAAAAATATTGAAGTAGTTGTGAAAATTATGCAAAAATGGTCAAAATCGATTATCAATCAAAAGTGTCAACTGAAGTCATAGCTACGACTCTTTGCTATCACAATAGTATATATTAAACAAATATTATAATTAGTTTAATTGGAAAAAAATTAAGAAAAAAAAGTTTTTTTTTTTTTCATTTTTTTGGGGCGATTTGCATTAAATTTACACACCTGATTGTACGTAAGCCTATCTGTAAGGATGCCAATTTTGGAGAAAATTGGTTGATAACCTCAGCCACAGATTTTAGAACCTTAGACTTTATTCTTTGTTTTTTTTTCAATTGACACAAATGTTTAAAAAAACGATTCATTTTTTATTCAATTTACATGAAACTTACACAGTATATGTGGAGGGCATCTCTCTACATTGGTGAGTTTTCATTTTTCTCTAAGTTCATTTATTGATTTTATCATAGCAATAAACATGCCATATTTGCATAATTTTTGGGTGGGAACTTTGAACATTTGTATTAGGAAAACTAAAGATGTTTTGGAAATTCTAAAGTCCCAAATCCTTTATTATATGCTAATGTGTCAGAAAAGTGTCACAGAATAACTATATCTGAAACGTGTGTTCTGAAGTGTGGACTTGAAAATATGTAAAAAACGTTGAAAAAAAAATCTCCCTTTCTATTTACGCTGCAGTACTGAAACTTGAAACAATTTCAGCACTTTTCATATACAACTAGTCAAATAATATTGGTTGACATTGAACAACTTTTCCAACACCACTCTAATGCCCCCTTAATCTCTACAAGGCAATACAGTACTGTATATAAACACCATCTGGATTTCCATCATCTCCATTTATTCCTCTATTGTTACTAATCCTTTGACGCCGAGTGAAGACAGATCACGTTCATAAAAAAATATTAAGGATGCATTCCTCTCTACTCTATTCTTACTAATCCTTTCCTTAATTATATTTGGTAAATTGAAAACCATTTTGTTTTATATCCGCTACATTATGGATCAGTTTACTGTAAAAGAGGGTTACAAGGCAATTTCAAAAAATTTATTTTCAGGATTCCAAGGGTGTCTAAGTTATAGTGTCAAGGATGCCTTTAGCTTTACTGTGGGCTTATTCAATGAACCGTGAAGGATAACCTAAATAAAACAAAGTATTTAAGCTTTGCTTCAAGGCAAGACGGGTCACAAATTCTGTAAGCTTTTAGATAAAGACCGGGGCCCCTTTGCTTAAGGGGCCCTTTGGTTACAAAAATGCAATAAATGAAAACTCGTTCGATTTCAATCAAACTTTTTTGACAAGTTCTATATGAAAAGTGTTTCATCTGGTCCAAGTTTCAGCATCGTAGCATAAATAGGAAGGGAGAAGTGTAAAAATTATGCCAAAATGGTCAAAAATGATTATCAAACAAAAGTGTCAACTGAAATCATAGCTGACGACTCTTTGCTATCACAATAGCATATATTAAACAAATATAATTAGTTTAATTGGAAAAAAATTTAAGTTAAAAATTTTTTTTTTTTTTTTTTTTCACAATTTTTCTTTTCTTTTTTTGGACGATTTGCATAAAACTTATACACCTGACTGTAAGGATGCCAATTTTGGAGCAAATTGGTTGATGTCGACCACAGCCACAGATTTTAGAACCTTAGACTTTATTATTTGCTGGTTTTCTTTTTCAATTGACAAAAGTTTACAAAACTTTCATTTTTTATTCAATTTACATGAAACTTACACAGTATATGTGGAGGGCATGTCTCTACATTTGGTAGAAAGCTTTTTTCTCATTTATTAAGTTCATTTATTGATTTTATAATAGCAATAAACATGCCATATTTGCATAATTTTTGGGGGAACTTGAAAATTTGTATTAGGAAAACTAAAGATGTTTTGGAAATTCTAAAGTCCCAAATCCTTTATTATATGCTAATGTGTCAGAAAAGTGTCACAGAATAATTATATCTGAAACGTGTGTTCTGAAGTGTAGACTTGAAAATGTGTAAAAAAAACGTTGGGGGGGGGGGGTCCCTTTCTATTTACGCTGCAGTACTGAAACTTGGGACAATTTCAGCACTTTTCATATACAACTAGTCAAAAAATATTGGTTGACATTGAACAACTTTTCCAAAAAGGTTCTATCGGCCCCTTGACCATTATACTGTGCATGCCGTACATATACGCCACAAGTAACATGTCCCATCGAGCGTATGGCGTATATGTATGCCATAGGGTCTGACCAGTAACTACATGGGTGACAAAATGGATATACCTCTAACCAAAAGCAAGGTTATCTCCTAAAGCTAGGTGAAGGCTACTTGTACCTATCAAGGTGCTGTACATATCCACATTAGACACCATTTGCCCTATACCAATTTACAAATAATACTCATTGTAAACTTAAATGATAAAATAAACTTAGGAAATGCACACCTCGGGGGGACCTCGTAGCCTGGTGGATAGCGCGCAGGGCTCGTAATTCTGTGGCGCGGGTTCGATTCCCGCACGAGGCAGAAACAAATGGGCAAAGTTTCTTTCACCCTGAATGCCCCTGTTACCTAGCAGTAAATAGGTACCTGGGAGTTAGTCAGCTGTCACGGGCTGCTTCCTGGGGGTGGAGGCCTGGTCGAGGACCGGGCCACGGGGACACTAAAGCCCCGAAATCATTTCAAGATAACCTCAAGATAGGGTGAACAGGCACGATTCAAATGGCACGCGACTACACGGGGTTCACATTAGCTTCCTATGGGCTCTTGTAAACAGACGTCATGTTTAAAAAAAATCGTGGGCAATATTCTCCAGTGTGAGAGCCACAGTACTGTGGGAGCAACCAAGGCTGACGCACGCAGCATGAGCTAACAGCATTGCTGTTCAGCTTGTGACCACAGCATCGCCTAAAAATCAAAATAAATATGTAACTGCTATTATTTAGCAATGACCCCTGACTGATAAAAATGACCAGGATTGTGATAGCAGGATTGTTGTGATAATTAGCGCTGTGTGGGAGTAAGGCTGAAGGAGGGAGGAAGATAGCATCACTTACTGTGTGGTCACCTGTTATTGTCCGCATTCATCATACCAGCTCAGTGGTTCTCTATGGTGAACACAAATGTAGATACTTTATATATAAATGTGTGTATACAGTGTAATAACACCGCAAACAGTATTGTTGGGGGAGAAATTTAAGTGCGCCTAACCCTGAGTGAGGGAGGGAGGCAGCTGTGTGTGTGTAGCGGTGTGTCTCAGTGCCTGAACTAACTATATCAGCTTAAGTTGAACAGTTGTGGTGAACAAAACG